CGGCTCCTTAAAAAAATGGGATGGTCCCTCAATCAGAGAAAATATTACACGTTTCGTATTGAGCTGAGAAGAGACGCAGTTTGTCCCGAACTTCAGCTAGAATGGAAAAAGACACAAAGCTGGATTTATTCTGTCTTTACGCTGCACAGCTGCCTCTTCTCTCATCCTGCCTCTCCTGTTGCTACTTCAATCATGAAACTGATCGATGATCAGCTGATCGGCTTTTCTCTCTTGTTTGTTTATCGCCCACTTTGCGCCAGAAAGACGAAACCAGCAGATGTTGCGCTAAACAACAGCAGCACGTTTAAGCTTGATCGGCTGTTGTTAGAATTTATTTAATATTCATTTCTAGTATCAGCTGATGTTTGCTGGAGCCACAGCTGTAAAGCTGCTGGTCATGATGTCGGTTTGGATATCTGGTGAGAGGGAAACGTGAAGACCACCCACCAGGATCCTTTTTTATGTAGCTGACAGCTGGTAACTGTGCAGGGGCGGGTCTAGCAAAGTTTTGCCAGGGGGCAGGTAGGGCATTAACAGGGAAAGGGGGGCACAAAGAAATACTTTTCTTTCTTATTCTCATTTAAAATATCTAGCTTTTATTAAATAATTATCTAAATCTTACAACCAAAGTTTTTATCTGACGTAAAATGTATAGAAATCATACATATACCAAAAAGACTGTACATCACTGTCACAACAGGGTTTGTTTTCATTCAAAGGCTTTATGGCTTTAATACCTGGTGGGTCGGTCTGTAGTCAAAATGCCCGATTTTCTGTCCCAGTCCAGCCCTGCAGGTTAATACTGGCAGTGTCACCATGCCAGCTGAATGTATTTCATCATCAGCCAGTGTTGTTCTTTATCAATATTACCAAAGTTTACCATAAGGCAGCATAGAAAGTATTTACTTGCTTTCAGGTTTTATTCAAATATTAGTCTTTTCAGTTGTTTCTCCACTTTTTTCCTGTTTCAAAATCAAACACCAGTTTGTGAGAAGATTATCTTCTTTTTTTAACAGGCAGAGAAAGTTTTACATTGGAACTGGCTAATTTGTCCATTGTTTGCTACAAATGTTCGTATTTTAATATTCAAAAATGTTTTTGCCCAAAACATATGTGCAGTATATGTCAGTAAAAATACTATGCAAATATTGCTGTCCTTGAATGCTGAGTAAACACTGACAAAGCACTGATTGTATCTCTTGTACTTTATCAACGCAGTATCTAAAAACTTTGCACCGTAGTGGTTAAAATCTCATTCTAATAAGAGTTAAAAGTGCCTTTGGTTATTAGGTTTATAGGATTATTGAATTATGGTTAAGGGTTGGTAGAAATTTTTTTTTAAACATTATCTGCCAATTAAATCTGCCACCCTTCTCCAAATCTGTGCCCCTACCTGGCCCCCCCAACAAAATTTTTCTAGACACTTCACTGGCTGGTATATTATGATGCACTACATGCTGGCTAGCGACACAGCTATTTTAGCATAATATAAACATACTGAAGCTGGAGGATGAACGCTAACTTTTTTCCATTCGATAAAAGTTAGCACAAGTGTTCTCAACGGTTAGGGGAAAAATGCAATTGCATGGCTGGATGCTGTAAATGGACCAAACTTAAGTTGGGAGAACCACTGAGATAATCCAACTACAATAAGGTGGTTAGTTATTATTTCTTTTCTAGGGGGTCTAGGGGGGGAATAATATTATCAAAATAACTGGAGGAACTATGCTGCCTGCCACAGCCCCATCAAATGAAAAAAAAAAAAAAAGTTTGTTTTTTTTGGCACTTGGGGTGGTTATCATCCATTTATCGTTATCGAGGTTAACTGCTCAATTTATCGTGATATTGATTTTAGGCCATATCGCCCAGCCCTAAGCTGAACCAGTCCTACGCCTGTTTCGAGGTTAGCCAGGCGGCTAATGCTATCTACCGCCTGACTACCGAGGACAGTGACGTCATCAGCGAGAGACCGGTGACCAGCATCGCGGAGCATGACGTCCGAGCGGCATTGAGGAGAGTAAACACAAGAAAAGCGGCAGGGCCAGACGGCATCACCGGCCGTCTGCTGCGCTGCTGTGCTGACCAGCTAGCAGGTGTGTTCACTTCCATCTTCAACTAGTCCCTGGCGAAGTCTGTGGTCCCCACATGCTTCAAAAGATCCACCATCATTCCTGTGCCCAAGAACAGCAAACCCTCATCCCTGAACGATTACCGGCCAGTTGCACTGACCTCGGTAGTAATGAGGGTGTTTGAGAGGCTGCTGAAGAACATCATCTCCTCTTCCATCCCAGACACCACAGATCTGCTCCAGTTCGCCTACCGACCCAACAGATCCACTGAGGACGCCATCGCCCATGTCCTGCACACCACCCTCAGCCATGTGCACAAGAAACAGGGCAACTAAATGAGAATGCTGTTTGTTGATTACAGTTCAGCATTTAACACAATAGTACCCAGCAGACCATTCACAAAGCTGAGGGATCTAGGACTCAACAGCCGCCTGTGTGCATGGGTGTTGGACTTCCTCACTGGCAGAACTCAGGTGATGCGTCTCTAACAGCATCACCATCAACACAATAGCACCACAGGGGTGTGTCCTCTCGCCACTGCTCTACTCCCTCTACACTTCAGACTGTGTGGCCACCCACAGCTCCAAGACCATTGTGAAGTTTGCTGACGACGCAGTGGTGTTGGGTGCCATCTCCAACAACGATGAGGTGGCCTACATCTCCAGCTGAACGTTGGCAAGACCAAGGAGCTGGTGGTGGACTTCAGAAGGAGTCAGCACAGAGACTACATGCCCATTATCATCAATGGAGCTCCAGTGGAGAGGGTGCAGTCCTTCAAGTATCTCGGTGTCCACATCTCCTCAGACCTGACATGGTCTGCCCACATTCAGGTCCAGACCAAAAAGGCTAGGCAGCGCCTGTACCACCTACGATAACTGAGGAAGTTCAGGGTCTCTCCAAAGATCCTCAGGATTTTCTATACAGGCGCTGTGGAGAGCATCCTCACACAGAACATGACATCGTGGTTTGGGAACAGCTGTGTGAAGGACCAAAAAGCTCTCCAGAGAGTGATCCGTACAGCAGAACGCTGCTGCAGGATTGCTCTCCCCCCGCTTCAGGACACCTACACCAGGAGATGCCGGACTAGAGCAGCGCAGATACTGAAGGACCCGTCCCATCCTGGCAACAAACTGTTCCAACTTCTGCAATCCGGCAGAAGGTTCCGCATCATCCGGGCAAGGACAGAGAGACTCAAGAGGAGCTTCTATCCCCAAGCCATCTGGGCCCTAAACCAATTTTATGTTTATGTTTATTTTACTTTTTATGACAATTAAAATGAATAGCATTCATATAAAAAATAAAATTGTCTCATGTAAACTGTATATGTTATTAAATACTACCATAATGCTGGTCATGCCCATATGAAAAAGAAACAGTAAAATCTTATAAAAGACTTGCATAAGATGTGGCCTACTTCATATAGTGAATCATATAAGGCTTATAGGATTTACTCATGAAAGTGGCCACTTTCTCATTACTTTCATATATTGTTTTAGGAAGTATCCAAAACATACAAGTTTCATTTATATAATTTTTCAAGGGATCTTATATCTGTTTTAACACTTGTATGCTTTTCATACAAGTTTCACACAAGACAGATAGAAACTTTATAAGATTTATATATATATATATCTTTTCCATATGGGTAGGGAGCCATATGTTTTATGAGGTGGTACTCATTGTGAAAAGTTTGAGAACCACAGCTGTAAACAAAGCAGCACTTCTGAGCTGCTTCAGCAGGCAGGCCACACCTTTTTCTCATCCTATAACACGTGATTTATTCTCAGAAACATTATCCATGCTTGATACAATATCTTCCCAGTACAGGGGCAGGACTATGTGTCAACTGAGGTCAATTTGTTGGGGAGGACAATTTGCAGGTTACAGAAAATGCTTCTTCTCATAAGGTAAAACTAAAGTTGCTTCTCGTGTATTGAATCAAAAATATATTAATCTTAGCATATTGTTTAGGGTCAGGAACATACCCACTGTTTTTCCTGATCCCCGGCTATAGAGGACACCCTGCTTTCTCCACCATGGTTTCAAAACTCCGCAGCCAAATACTATTATCATTGAGAAACACTGGTAAACATTATAAACTCATTTTCACATTTAGAATAATATAGTCTGTCATTTTATTCATATAACCATTCATATAACCTGTTAAAAAACAGGACAAAGCCATCATAAACATCTTTACCCATTGAGCTCCCACAGAAACCATGTCTAATCCCTGTGTGTTACACCCTCTTCCCTGTGAAATTCTGGTGTTAGTTTCCCTATTTATGTTGTTGCTTTTGAGCCAGGTCATAACACTGTGGAACAAGTGCAAAATTTCCAGTGTAGAGGAAGGGGTCTCTCTCCTTCCATTTACTTTTATACAGCAGTGGCAGCAGTGAGTGCAATCTGCAATGTGCAACTAGTCTAGTAGAATGCAATTCTACTAGTAGACTAGTAATATTTGTACAGTATATTTGCACAAGAGTTTTGTACCTGGATTTTAATTGAATACATTTCATTAGTGGCTTTTCCAGAAGGTAGTCAGTCATTGAAGTTAACCAAATCATATTCAAAGCATGCAAAGTGTTATTGTTGGACTAGCCTTCTCTTTTAAATAGAGACTGACGGCAACTATGCTTCAGTTTTACCAGCTTTCACAGGATCTCAGAAGCATGTCTAAAAAGTTCAGAAATTCAAATAACCAAAAGTGTGTGAAATGCAAGGTTTACCAATAAGATAATTTATTTACAAATTTAACAAAGGCTAATATTTGCTATGCAAATAAAAAAATTTGATTGTCAGGTTCTTTCACTGTCAAAGGAAGGGTTAAGTGGTGGTCAGAGTGAGAGAGAAACCACTCCCCCCAATAAGAATTACTTACAACCTGAACAGAAACTAAACTAAATTTCACTTCTATCTGACCATCACAGAATGCAGATCCTTGCGCTGATCCTTGGGATCCTGCTGCTCCCTAAAAGCAAGTTTTTCCTTGGTTATCTGTTCTTTAACATTTTAAAGAAAGTTCTGTAATTTCAATGAAACTTTTTTTTTTATTGCTTTTACATCATGTTATTTACAACCCAGCAAAAAATGTGTCTACTTCCTACAAATGAGTGCACTATTTATTGTACTTTTAGCCCTTTGTTTGAATCTATTTATTTTAGTTGGAGTTTCAGGATTTGTCCATACGGTTAATGCAAGAAAAGTTGATTTAACTCCTTATTTAAATGTCTTTTATCAGCATGTCCATTGGAATGTTATGAATGCATACCAGGACCATCTGGAAGCTGCAATGAGACAACAAAAGAATGTCCATCCAATACTCAGTGTGGTTCAGTCAGAATGATTTCAAATATGGGTAAAATGGTATTTTATAGTTCTTCTATTATTTTTTGAAGTGACCGAGTTTACAATGGTTCCTCTTTGGTTTCAGGTGGTTCAGAATTTAAATTTATGGGGAGAACTTGTGTTACGCCTGATCAGTGCTTCAGTGGCTCAGTCAACTTTGGATTTGCCCAAGTTGTAATTAACAGCAAGTGTTGCACCTCTGATCTGTGCAACTCTCAAGATGTCCCTGGTAATTTACAACATGTTTCTTGGTATTTTGAAATAGTATTTCCTGTTGTGATAAAGAAGTAGATTTTATTAATATTGTGGAAAAAGTTACAAAGTGAGCCAGGTTTAGGAAAATTAATTTTTTCTCAATCACTGAGTTCTCCTGATGGATGAGGATTAAAGCATCCAGTATTTGCATATCTGATGTTTTTTGGCACTTTGATAAAATAATCAAGGAAACAAATATGACATATATATTTGTGCTTCATAGATTGGAGCATACCCTCGCCAAATGGGAAAAAATGCTCGCAATGTGATGGAAATGACTGCACCAAAACTTTAACCTGCAACAGAAATGAGGACTACTGCATCTCAGCAGCAGGTAACAGGCCTAGAACATTAAGTTTCTGTATGTTTCTTTTCTGCTTAGAGGAATATTCAGTGATTCCTTTTTTAAAACTTGCAGCACAGTAGAATAATTTTTGTTTTCTCAGTGAATGCAGGAGGGGAAACTACTAAAGTAAAGGGCTGCGCCTCCAAGATGATTTGTTCAAACACACAAACTGCACAGCTCTCAGGAATCATTGGAGGAGAAGTCAGCTGCTGCCAGGGTGACCTCTGCAACAGTGATACAACAACAGCGTCACAGCCCAGCAGCACAACTGCTGGCACAACAACAGGATCACAGCCCAGCAGTACAACTGCTGGCACAACAACAGCATCAAAGCCCAGCAGCACAACTGCTGGCACAACAACAGGATCACAGCCCAGCAGCACAACTGCTGGCAAATCAACAAGTACCATCCTTGTATGCTTTGTGGCACCACTGATCGCTTTGGTCTTGTTCTCTTAGCTGATGAAAAAAAAATAGCACAGCCCAGTTTTTCTTTAAACCTTCACAATACTTCCACATATTCACCAAGAGTTCGCTCAAAAAATATAAAGTTTCATAAACAACAGTCTTTTTATTTTTTCTCAAATATTTTAAAATTTGCTCCTTTAAAAAAATGTACTTTATGGATTTGTGCTTTCTTTAACATTTCTAAAACATTTTGAACTGATACTCGAAGGTTAAAATGAAAAAAAAAAACCATCAGGCAAATCTTGTAAATGAAACAAATGCATAAAAATAGTGTCAAAAAGTGCAAAGTATGTATACTTATTATTATGTCACTTGAAATCTCCCAGCAGCTAGTGTCCTTCCAGGAATGACACGAACATTGATGATGCAGATGTACAGTCAGTTTTCATTTGAATGTGACAACTTCAGTCTTCCTTTAGATCTTTTATATTTATATATATATATATAGAGAGAGAGAGACAGACAGACAGAGAAATAAATCAGATCAGGAAGATAATTAAAAGGCTTCAAATCATCTGGTTACAGGTGCATGTCATTGTTAACATGTGTACGTAATTATACGTATATATCTAAAATATCCATCACAGTTAATCTGTACTTAAACTGTATTGAAATTTACTTTGAGAACCACCACACAAACTGATTGCAAAGCATATTCTACTAAAAAGTCACTGATCATAAAAATACATAAATAAATAATTTACAAGTCTGTCCTATGAAAACAATTATTTGCAGCTTAATAATGCTTCAGCAATGAAATAAAACAATCTTAAAGAGGATTCAGTAAATGAACTGATTCAAAAATAAAAAGAAACAAATCACTTTAATAAAACAGAAATATCAATCAAATGAACTCAAAACTACAACAATTCAGTTATTTAAAGAAGCTTTAAAAAGGCCTTGAGCAGCATCAGGATTAAAAGAACAATGCAGCATGGTTGTTATTCTTCTTTAATCGTGGAGACTTCTAATTAGTTTGTATTTAATTATCTAGACCCAGATAGCACTGAGCTATGGACCCTAGCCTTAGATCTTTGCCCAGTTGGTTGTTTAACTTTGCAAACAACAGATGAAAACTACATTGCTACATTTAGCAGAGGTCACATTATGAGTGACTTTGTGTTACACAAACAAAACATGGATAACTTTCACATGAAGAATTCTGTAAAATGCAATTCTTGTTGTATGTTGCACACTTAGATTAAAAGGAATTGAAACCAGCATAGCGTTGTGAGTCCGCCTTTACTGTAACTTCTGCAAATATATAGACATTTTTATACACTTGTACACCATCTGACATAGCTTTTGTTAGGCGCACTGTATTATGGTGAGTAGCCTGGCTTGTTTCAAACTCAAAACACCAATACTTCTTACAGTAGCATAAACGAAATAACCCTAAACAAAAGTCTGATTCCCAGGTCTGAATTAACTGTGATTACAGCCCAGTACAGGTAGACATCAACCACAGTGCCACAAGGTTTTCACACAAACTGGCAAATTAGCTGTAGCTGCTAACCGGTAGCTTCATGGCTAATCTACATTGCTAACAATAAATATACACTAACCACACATGATGGGAATTAACAGCCAACTTTCCTACATTCCCTGCAACCATGTGGACTTATCTTAAGACCAAGGTCAAGTTATTTACTATTTTTATCTGCTTAAGTGCAAATATATAGCCATAGTAGTATATTGTTACACGCTTGTACACACTTTCACACAGCTTTTGTTAGGCGCACTGCATTAGGTGAGTGGCCTGGCTCGTTTACTCCCACTTCAGCTGCTCATTTCAGGAGATACTCCCTCTTGTGGTGTAACGGAGAATAACTACTCTTCCAGCGCTATGTCTCGTTGGAGACTGGCGCACACATTATTTTACAACAATGTGTGCGTGAACAATCAGAACATTTTCACCAAATACAATATTGTAAATAAACGATTATGGGGGAAGGGTGTCTTTTTTTTGTTAATGTCTTCTTTTTTTGTCATTTCTTGTCCTCACATGTACAATTTTTTTTCTCCTGCTCATTAAATTTGATTGGTGACAGTCCCTGGATAAGCAAAAGAAGATGGATGGATTAAATTTGGTTAGTGACTTATCCACAAGTATCCCAAGATATCCACTGAGTGCTTAGTCATTCAAGTTAACCAAATCACATTCAAAATATGCAAAGTTTTATGGCTGACCTAGCTGCCAAAGGTTCTCAATAAAAAACATTACAGAGATGCACACAGATAGAAAAATCCCTAAAAGCAAGATGACTTAACTACGAAGTTAGCAATAACTGGAGCTGGGGGAAGAATTATTTATAAACTAGCAAACAATATTTTTAAAAATCTAATACTTACACTTTATTCAATATGTAGAAAGGGCAATCATAATTAAGCTGTTCAGTACAAGTTGTAGATTCAAGCTGCTCTTCATATTTTTGGCCACCAGGTGCCACAGAAGAGGACTGAGGTTTTTATCCTTTCAAGACTAATTTGACTCACTTATGATCGGCACAGGGTTTTATTTATTTATGTATTTTGCTCAAATTCACCAACTTATCATGTTTATATTACATTGACTTCATGCAAGGTCCAGTTTTTGGTCTCTTGTTATTGAATGTCCCTCTCTGTCTGTACACTGCTAAAAAATAGATTCAGTTGTTGATCTAAATGTACCCCAGTACATTTAGATCAATGTACTACATGCAAATGCCCCCAGTTTCTTTCAGAAATCATCATTATTAACAGTCTCTACACTCTGTGTAGTGTTGTATCATGCATCTCACTAGTGTTAATCTTAATCAGGGCCTGTCTCATCTTTGTACACTGCCTCAGTAAAATGAGGTCAGTACAATTTTAATTTTGCTTCAGCCAGCTGTGTTTTCAAATGTGTGAACAGAATCTGCAGAATATCACAGCAGTTAATCTAACAAGTTGATGAGTTGTTTTGTTCTTTTTTCTGCTTTGAGACATTTTTCCACTTGTAAAATATGAATTATGAGCAGTAACAGCGTTACTTTTTTCAGTAATGAGTAATCTAACGAGTTACTATTTCTATCGTTACAACGCCGTTACCGTTACTAACAAAAAAACGCGGTGCGGCCACGTTACTATTTTTCAACAAACAGACAGCTGAAGCTGTCTTCAGCTTACCGCACCTTATATCAGTTGTACGGAAGTAGCTGTCTATGTAAGTAATCGGGGCGCTGCAGCTTTAAGCAGCAGCGCGCGCTCCCGCGGGCGGCAATCACTTTCTGCCCGACGATCACTTTTTGGCACAGCACCTGGAGCTCAGGGGGCAAAACATTTGCATGAGTGCTGCTGTTTGACTGAGGAAGAATATAGTAATCGTGGTAAGCCAAATAAAACAACCAATTTAAGATGACAAAGCAACAAGGTGATATATACCAGTTTTTAAATTGTGCTGATAGGCCACGTCATGTCACGTCAGTCATGATAAACAATACATATGCAGCGTTTTTTCCGCAATAGTTTCATCATGTTTACTGTCTAAGAACAGCGCTAGCAAGCACTCTCTGCTTATGAGCAAAAAATAAAAAAAACAAAACAAATAGCAGAAATGTACAGAAAAATGTACCATGTCAACCAATCACAAAATGATATGGCAACATGACATTGGTTGTTTAGGGAGAGGGGGAAGTTTTAGGAGTGACGGCGCGCGAGAGAGAGAGAGAGAGAGAGCGAGAGAGAGAGAGAGAAAGCAGGAAAAGAGAGAGAGCGAGTTTTGAGATGTGAGAGATTTGTGACGTTTAGGGTGTTTGGAGTGTGTAGTTAATGTGTTGTCTTGTGTAGTTAGTGTGTAGTGTTGTGGATAGGTTTGTGTTGTGTGTCAGAACAATGAGGCGACTGCTGTCTCCAGGTAGAAAACAGGAGTGATACGCCTGCTGCTGTCAGACCTGCAGGTATCAGGCTGTGATGTTGACAGAAATTGTTTTTTTGGAGTTGCACAAATAATTTGTGTGGCATCGTATTAAATGCAAAACACCTGATTGTTATGTAAATAATTTGAAAAGGTTATAAAAAAAAGGGTAAAACGTAAATGGCTGCAAATAACTTTGTTGTTTGAAAAACTTGTGCATATGATTTTAACATTGACAGTTTTTATTTGCATTTAACATTTTGAAATATGAGTCATTAAACATGTGTGTGGTTGTTACAGTACAAAAATATAACTTTTTCTACACAGATTTCATGTTTTTTGTCTGATTTTAGATAAATTGTGTTAATACAGTATGTCAAAATGAAAACATAACTGTAAATTCAGACACGTGAGGTTGTGCTGAAAAGAATGATACCAAACAAGGCAAAGTAAAGAGTTTTTAAACCTGGTAACTCAGTTACTAACTAGTAACTATAATTAATTACTTTTTCAAAGTAACTTGCCCAAGACTGATTATGAGTTAACTAAGCAGTGTTGTAACTGTGTTGTGATGACTCTGTAGTGATGAAGAAGGAAAAAGGAGGATGAGACTTGATTTGAAGTTAGTTTTGAGCCACGGGTTTTCTCTTCCTCCTCTTCTTTTTTATAAAAAAGTTTATAGATATTTCAATCTTTCTTTTCCCAGAAGGTCCATTACCAGCAGAGGGAGAAAATATATTTAAAAGCCACAAAATCTGTGCCACCTCGCTTGTGTATTTTGCTGTTCTTTCTTGCAATTTGACATTCAGAAATATATTTTATGGGATAAATTAAACACTGTCTTAATGTGAGTAAATTTTGTATTACAATTTTCCTTCTATTGGAGACTGAAACCATTTGGCAAGAGTGCCAGATATTTTTTGTATGCAGGAAAGACTATGAAACAGTGGACAGCTTTCTATAACGTGTCAAAAAATCAGCCAGATATCACTCAAAATTTAATCTGCAGATTTTACTATGAATTTTACATGTCTGAAGCCACAGAGCAATGCTATGATAAAACTAACATACAAATATAAGTGATGTAGTGTATATGACTGAGACCATTACACTGACT